GTCCTCCCTGGACTGACCTATCTCCTCCCTAACTCCCCACCTACACTGACCTTTACTGGCTCCATCCCCGCCTCTTTGACCTGTCTGTTTCCTCTCTACCTATCTTTTCCTATATCCATCTTCTATCCGCCTCTCCCTATTTATTTCAGAACCCCCTTCCCCTCCCCCATCCCTGAAGAAGGGTCTAGGCCTGAAACGTCAGCTTTCCTGCTCCTCTGCTGCTTGGCCTGCTGTGTTCATCCAGCCCTGCACCTTGTTATCTGATCTTCCAGCATCTGCAGTTCCTACTGTCTGAGAGTAATATGATGTCAGGTGGTCTTACATAATCCTGGAGTCACGAAGTCTGCAGTTATTCCAGTGTAAGGTTAAGGTATTTGTGGGTTTGAGTCAGGGAGAGGCTTGAAATTGAGGTGGTTAACCTATATTTGTACCTGGGAACAACCTGTGAGACGTTTTGCTGGCTGGGCCTCAGTGAAATTCTTTGTGTCGTGATAATCTTTGAGCTCCAGGCAGAGGCAGCAAGCGGACAACTTCAGAGAAGTAGCTATGAGATGGTTTCAGTTCAGATTTTAGTGTAGATTGCAGCTCCCTGACAGTTCAGAAATAAAACTGCAGCAGACTAAATGCTAGACTAATGTTAGAGATGAAAACAGACAGTTAGTATTCAATATAAGGCAGTTGTAAAAAGGAAAGAAGTAATTGCAAAATCTGTTGAGTTTCAAATTAAAAGGAAGGAATTTGCAGTGATCCTCTAAATAAAAGGCAGTTGATCCTTCTGTAGTTATCCTTTTTGTAGTTGGGAGTTTTTTGAGATCATTAGTGGGCTATTGGAAGCCAGGGTGTTTTGATGTGTTGATACACTATTCAGATTGGGAGGCCTGTGCTGGAGTTATAAATTCTGGAGTCCTGTTGATGAATATTTTGGTTGTTTGATCAAAAGCTAATGAAAATTGCCTTGTGAAATCTTGCATGCTGGAGAATTGCTGGAATAACGAAGAGAAATCGGTGAATTCCAGAGTGGTTAAGTACCTTTTTTTTTGAGTTGGCCCCAAGAAAAGTGAATTAATCTTAAAGGTTTGGTAAGATAAAGGATATCTTGAAGGTGTTGTAGGCAATGAGTAGATTTGCACTGTAAATTCAGTTTGGTAAATTAGTGACATTAATGGTGTTTGCTTTCTTTTAATTTTAAAGATTTATTTTTGACAGTTAATTGCTGGTTTGCTTGGACTTCTACTTTTAAACATTTTGATGGTCCCTAAATAGATTGTAACATTTGAAGCTCAGCCATCACTTCCAAATAAACTAACCGATTTTATATTGAAAATTGAGATCCAGACTTATTGGTGTCTGTTTACTTTCTGCTGCTTAAATGTTTGTCATGATGAAATACCAGTTTGTTCTCTTTGCTTTTATTTTTTTTAATTTTAATTCTGCAATTTTCATACTTAACCAAGATAATAAATAGCACTACAGGGATAGTAAGACCTATACGAAATGCATCTGAATAGATTGATCTTTTTAAAGTCCTGGTGATGCCAAAGATGATTAAGCCTGTAGCCTCAACAATGATTCTTTGAGCCTAAGACTTTGTGCTTGATGCAGCCGTTATTCTCCATAGCTGTATGAAAGATCATACAATTGGAAATTACTTTTTAAAAAACTTTCATTGAGATATTTCCTTTAAGATTTCTGCAGAATTTTGACAATAAGCCTATTTTATTGAAACACACTACTTTTGTGCATTTCCTTATTCTACATCTATAATGCTCAATTTATACTTGCCTTTCACCGGAGGCTGGCATGATGTTGGATTTCTCCACCGTGCACCTTATCTTAGTTACTGATGTTAATTACCCTTTGTTAACAATGTACCTGCTTCAGTCATGAACCTGACGACAGAAAATATCATTAACATATCATAGAAGCATAGAATCCCAACAGTGTGGAAACAGGCCATTCGGCCTAACAAGTCCATATCACCCCTCCAAAGAGCATCCCACCCAGACCCATTCCCTTAATTTCCCATGTCTAACCCACCTAACCTAAACATCCCTCAATTTAGCATAGCCAGTCCACCTAACCTGCACATCTTTGGACTGTGTGAGGAAACTGGAGCACCCAGAGGAGACATGGGGAGAATGTGCAAACTCCACATGGACGGTTGCCTGAGGCTGGAATCGAACCTGGGTCTCTGACGCTGTGAGGTAGCGGTGCTCACCGCTGAGCCACCGTGCCGCCCCGGCTTCATCTGTTGGAAGAACACCTGAGATTTGGGTTTCCGTTTGCTGTAGGAATTGCACAGCATTAAATGAATTTAATTTAAAACTTGAACTATCGCAATCAAATGTCATAAGTAGAAGAAAATTGAACTGTTTTCTAGGTTATAAACACCAGATGGTGCAAGTGAGCTACTATTGAAAAGCTTTGCTCACTTTGGTAAATGAGCAATATTTTCAGTTTTCAGTTTTTTTTTTCCTTTTAATGTTAAATATTGAGATTTGAAAAAAACAGCAAGATGGTGGTGGGAAATGCACTGTGACCGATCTCCATTCTAAATTAGGATATCTTTTAAATCTAATTTTGCACTTTTATTTTCTGTAACCAGCTATGGAAGTTAAAGCATACTACATATTGGCTTCTACTGTTTTAAGAAGCAGTTTCTTTGACTTTGTCCGTTTGGAACAACGGGGAATGCATGTACATTTTGTGTACACGTCACTTTTTTTTGGAAATCTTGATCATCTTGAATTGGATTAGGAAGTGACACTCAAGTGAGCACTTGACAGTTTTTCTTAGAGGAAAACCTTAGCTGGCTATTTACGTGCAAGATCATTATTGTGGAGTATGCAAATGCAATAACACTGATATAGAATTGGCATTAGATTTCCAGCCTTTGCAGTCTCGAACACAGCTGCAAAGTCTTGCAATAAACATCTGCAGGCTCCTATGAGATCAAGCATTGGCCCTCCAACTGGCTAATGTGAGCCTCCTCCATGATCTCTCTCTCAACAAGCAATGCAATCATTTTTGTCTGACTCACGCACTATGGGAATAATAGTGTGATTGGAAAAAGCAAGTTTGATAAATATTCCGATATCTGTAATCTTATTAAATGTTCTTGCGTAGTTTGAATTTCTTTTTTGTTTAGCAAATGTCAGTAAAATATTCGTGATATAGAGGGACCTTGATTTTAATCTCCATTTTCAGTTTGTACTTGACTATAATTGTACTGGCTACAGTGATGAGCTGCATTCACAGTTCTAGTTGTAAGTCTGCATAATCTGAAGATATGTTTGGGAATTGTACTTTTTTTTTTGTCATAAAATACCCTGCTTGGCATTGACCAGGATTTACATTATAGCCTGCTTGCAAAAAAAATGCCAACTGAGTGGATTCATTGTTAACTTTCTTTCAGTAAGAACATTGTGGAATAACTTTTTAAAGTCCACTTCCAGGAAGAATGTAAAACTGATACAGTAGTGATAAATACTTTAAGTTCTGGGGTAAAGCAGGAAATGTAACTTTACCATCCTGTGAATTTTTTTTTTGAGTAAATAAATCTAATCTGCATTTCTACATTACATTAAAGGAGCCAGAAATTGAGCAGACTGGAAGCGAGCAGGATACAAGACCACAATCTGCACTTCCTGGAAGCAGGTAATAAGCTGTAGAAATTCTGATGAATTCTCTAACACTTAATTACACTGCACCCCCCTAACCTCCCTGGATTGTAGGGTGACATGTTTCTTCCAGCTTATAAATTTTCTAAATACTGTGTTTATCACAATACCCAGCGGAATCTTTAAATGAAAATTTACTGCTGTAATCTTTTTGAAAAGGCAATAAAGAAAGCCTTTTAAGTGTTGAAGCATGTTAATTTGCAATACTTTTTGGAGTTATGTACAAGATGAGGTTCCCTTTTGGAGTAGGGAATTGGTAGCTGGTTGGTACTAGCCTCGCCAACTCTATTTTTAGAATTGCTAAGACGATTATTCTCCCAAAGTTGTATCTCTTAGCTCCCTTTTGTGCCATAAACAAACACTGACTAAGTGGGCTCACAGATCACGGTCTTTCTCAGTAATATTCATTAGGAATTGACTGGGATCAGCGTTTATTGTTCCCCTCCATTACTCCCTTTCTGTCTTGAGAGGAATAAAAGTGCTGTGTTGTGCACCACCTCAATGCTGTGACTAAGAAACGGCGAGTTAAAATTTCTGCCCGACCATCCAACAGAAAATGTACAGAGTTAAGTCCCTGTTTTTACTTGTCTCATTCCCCATCCTTCTGTTTTTTTAGTGCCATGAATGAGGCCTGTATGATCACTTGAGGTTCCTAATTTAGTGTTGTTTTGCCCAGTGGCTGCTAAAGTAGCATGTAACTCAATTGGGGCCAATTTATAGCTCCCTCTCCCATAGTCCCTGACTGTCGTGATCCTTTTTCTCCCACTTGGAGCCCTCTTAGCTTTGTGCCCTGCTACTGAACCACCGCTCCTAGCAAGGGTTTGGGAAAGAGCAAGTGGAAACCAAGCTGAAAGAAGTTTTTTTTAAAAAAGAACCATTTGCATTTCAAACTTACCATTTCAGTATCTACTTAACACAACACAAATTGTGGGAAAACCATTTATGAATGTTGCACATACTCGGTACAGAGATGTTACGTTCTGAAGCAGATTTGCACAATATTCCACACTCTTTGGCTTAATTGGTCCATATAAAGTAGGGAAATGCTACTTTCTGAACCCATCTTTTCCTCAGATATCTGAAATGCTTTTTGATTTTAATTGAAAAGCAGCATATTGGAAAATGTGAAGTCTTGTTACCTAGCAACCATTGTGTGGTGTAGATATTTGATATCTGCATCGCCGGTTTCCTTCCTATCATATTTGTATTTAATTTTTTTTTTTTTTTTTTTTGTTTCTTGACATTAATGAAATGTAGCTGGTCAATATTGTCCTGTGCTTGAACTTTTTCACTTCTGATAGGTTAAAAGATGAATCATCATCCAGCGATGAAGATGTGAAAATGATCAACCAAAATTCCAGCGCATGCCAGCAAGATCACAACTTGTCATCTCTGTCGTACGTTTCATATGTGAAATCCCTTCGGCTCGGTTCTGAACAGCTTGTAAGTACAAAATACATCGTTGGACAGTACTTAGATGAGGTTTCTTGTGATGTGTAATACAACCCTATATAAAGGCTGCTATGCTAATTATTGTTCTAGAAGTCTGCCATTTTCAGTTTTTTTTTTTGTTTGCAGCAATGCCTTCTGTCAAATGATCAGTTTCAATTAAATGTTTTGTGAATTTTAGATTTTTGCAGTTCTCTTTTTACTATTTTAATTTACATTTTATGGCGCTATTTGGCATGTGCCATTAAATTGACAGAACTCAAGCCCATTGTGATCCATACAATCTGCTCCTCCCCTATGGAAATGGAGCACCTTCTTAGCAATGGACAAGCAGCTTCAAAAAAAACTATCGTTGCATCATTTAGATATGCAAAATATGTTAATACACCCAAATTGAGAGCATTTCAATTGACATGTTGATCTGGACGATTAATAAAATTTTATGTTGACTGGAATGAGGACTAATGTAGACATCCATTGCAAACTTGGTCATGGCTCTTTTTTTTTTGGAAATTTTACAACCACTTCTCTGGTATACAGCTTTTCAGCTGTTTGGACAAAGGTTGTCTTCCTTTTTAAAAGGAATTAAGTCTTATACTGTGACAATGCTGTCACTTTAAAAGGTTATTTTGTTCTGGGTTATTTTTGTTGTTTTATTTTGGAGAGGTTGTAAGGCAAAGGTATCAACAGTCCACTAGTACCACAAGAGGAAACATTTGTGAGCCCTTCAGGTTTGTTCTAAGTTTGAAACAATGGGAGCAGCCTGAATGGCTTGCAGACCAAGCTTTCTAGTTTTCTCTAGCTTCAGCAATCGGAAGTTGTTTGGTGTCTATAGTTGGAAGCTTTGGTGACTGATTCCTAACTGCTAGTTTCTCTAAAGTTCCTCCATGTTGTTCCCTCCTGGATTGGAGAACTGCATGTAAGAATCTGTCTGAATTTACCTTTTTGCCAAGGGGTGTGTTTATGGGATGCTACTATATTGGAATAGTTAATTAGTAATAGTTACTCTATCTATTCTGTTAAGTTTTTTTTTTCAATAGTTATACTAAATTCCTCTTTGGTATTTTAGTGTTTAAATAAATTGCTTTGCTTGATGTCAAGTAGTTTTGACCAGTCATACAATGTCTGGAACACGGCACTTCACATCTACCTTCTAAATTAGGGTCTGGGCTACCTTTAAAATATTTTGAAGGGGTCTGGTCTGGCCCATAACAATACCCATTGGTTTAACTGACCAATTTAGCAGTCCACTTCCATAACGCAAAAATTATTTGCCGCTCGACTTGTAGATTTTTCTCTCTTCAGTTTGTCGTCCTGTCTGAATCTAGAATCTGACAGTCAATATCAATGAGGTTAGGTTGGAAAAGGAAATTCAGGCTGGACTGTGGATTAACAATGGAAAATTTAAAATATCATTAAAAGAAACAAATTTTGGAATGCTGTGGATAAAGGGAGGTCAGCAAACAGGCATTGGGTATATAGGTCCAAGAGCTATGAGGAAAGCTAGGCTATGAATCTTGGAGCAAATTAAACCACAAATTCTTGATTTATTTTATCAAGACTTGTTAATAAGGTGAATACTGAGGAAAGAGGATAGTGGTTCATTAAAAAGATAAATGGAAGCTGGTGAGTATAAGGAAATGCCACTATGATGAAACATTTGAAAAAAAAACTCACTTGAACAGGAGATTAAGGAATTTAGTAGTGTTGCTTGATATTATTAAGGAGTGACACAGCAGAGACTGAAACTGATTGTTAGCTGCATTGTTTTTAGCTTGAGGCAGATCAAGGTACAAGGTTACACCAGAGGGATTAAGGACAAAGATGAGAGCAACATTTTTACACAGTTCTAAAGTCACGGAATGCTAGGGCAGGACCCAAGGATTGAAACTGATGCCAACTCCTGTAAGAATTCATTAGTTGGCTCACTCAAAGGAAACAGAATAAAGGGATTTGGCAACAGGATAGGCATGACATCAGTCCAAAAGCTTGTGGAGGGCAAACACCAATATGAACTGATGAGCTTAATGACACATTTCTGCGTTGTCTGTTGCATATGATTCTTAATATGCTTGGTGAGGGGAAATGTGGAGGATAACTTGTCTGTTGAGGAAATGCTACAGGATAAAGCTTTTGTTATTGGCTTACTTTAAGTACTTTGTCTTTTTGGGTTGTAATTATATTACCACATAAAGTAGTTTGTGTGCATGTCATTGCAAATGTGGTGATGCAAATCTATTATTAAGCGTACTAAAGTTATGAGGCATCAGACCATTTTTAGGAAGCTCTGGCACACAACTTCCCACATAATGCAGTGTAACTCCAGCTTCGTTTAATATTCTGTGAACTTGTGCTTATCAATTAAGAAATGCTACATTGCCTTCAACACTAAATTAAAAACAAATTCTTTATGCTTTGTCATATCTGTTTGTTTTCTTACTTTGCCTCTGCTGAATCGCTTCCTGAAAGGCCCAAGAATGCTTATTAGAATAACTCTGTTAGCAATCCCTCTACTCTGCTGCAGCACCTTGCCTGGACTGATGTAGTCTTCTCCCCCTACATCCCCACAATCAAGATTGCTGATATTGGCTTTTGTAATGTGTGGCCCATATACGCTGGATTTAAATTAAGTTGATTGTTCTTTGCTGTTATATGTAAATGCACCTCTTAACTGTATACATACTAAAATATCAATACAAAATTTTAAGAGGCAAGGGTTTTGTCAATGTTTGGTTAATAGAGCCCTATTTTTCTGATTAACAGAAAAGCCTCCAGCTAAAGGAAGGTCCAAATGATGTTGTATTTAGTGTCACAACACAATACCAGGGCACATGTCGTTGTGAAGGTACTATCTACCTCTGGAACTGGAATGATAAAATAGTTATTTCTGATATTGATGGAACAATTACAAGGTAGGTGTTGATCTGTTGTATTTGCAAATAGTCCTTAGTCATGTTTGAACATGAGTTTTGAAGTAGCGAGATTTATTTTACAACAGGTAAAAAGGTTCTGAAGTTTTTACCTTGTGCATTTGTGCAGATCTGATGCCTTGGGTCACATTTTGCCTACACTTGGTAAGGATTGGACACATCAAGGAATAGCAAAACTGTATCACAAAGTTAGCCAGTAAGTATTTGTAGCTACTTTTTAGAATTTAACAGTGATCACAAAATTGTGCATCTTGGACGTTCCTGTGTATTTATTTAAAAATCTGTTTACAAGTCCTCTTGAGCAATGGTGGAAATTGCCAGGACTGATTTCTTGAAACATCTAAATGCTACATTAATGACCATTGTTTTTCCTGCTTCTGTTTTAATGACCTAGGGCACATGGGCCTAACATAAAGCGTAGTTTCCAAGTTTACAGATCTCTCAGAACTTTGCAAGTATTATGGACAGTGAGGAGCATAGTGATAGACTAGACTTCAAGGGGTCATAAGCTGGTGAAATGCATGCGTGACAAATGAAATTTTTTATGCAGCGAATTGTGAAGTGATGTGTTTTGGGAGAAACAACAAGGAATGAATAATGAACAAAGGCTACAATTCTAAGGGGGTGCAGGAGCGAAGAAAGCTGGATCTCCCATTTACCTTGCATTCACAAATTTCAATTCTCAAATGAAAATTTATACTCAAAAACATAACTACTCACTGCTATTATGAATGTATAAGATCTGGAAGGCACTGCCAGAGTGTGTAATGAAAGCAGGTTGAAGCTTGCCTTTCAAAAAAGATTTGAGTCATTATCTTGAGAGAACAATTAGACCAGTGCAGGGTATTGGAGTTAACACAGTTGCTTTTGCAGGGAGCTGGCACAGAGACATTGGCCCAACTCCAGCGTTATTATTTTCTTGGAGTAAGCCAGCTCCCATCTTCACAGCACCTATTTCTTCTGCTGAACAACAATATTGAATCTACATAGTTTCTTATTCTCCAAATTTTCGATTTGGCTGCAAAGTCAATGAGTCGAGGGTTTTATTCACAGTTGTGTAGGCAATATAGCAATTGGTTTGCACCCAGTCATGTCCCACAGAGTCTGTTTTATTTCTCAGTTGGAGAGGGATTGTTGGCTGTGACATTGGCAAAATTCTCAACTGTAAATCTGACTGTGGAATCTTCACCCTTCAAGGGTGTTTGGGCCTTGTTTCAACACATCATTTTGAAAGGCTGTATCCACCAATACAGTACTCAGCACCCACTGAATTCTCAATCCCTCGGAATGGGATTTGTACCAAAGTAAGACACTGACGTAAGCCCACATGCAACTACGGGGCGAGGCTGATATTTCCGATCACTGTCTGTGGACGGGACACTGGCTCATGAAGTTGGGGGAAAATGGTCATTGGTCAATATTGGAAGGTTTAGTTTTTTTTGGTTAAAACTAGTCCTTCTAAAGGTTTAAAAATCCTCACGTCACCCTCTCGACTGCACAAAATTGAAACTTTTACTAAGACAGCTCAGCTTAAATCTCCAGGGCAACTACAGGTTACCACAGTTTGTTTCTGCACTCTTGAACTCTTACAAAGGCAAAATCTTTTCAGATTGTTGTTGCTGGGGTGGGGGTAGAATTGCTCTGTCACTAACATGGTGGGGAACATAGAGATGTACAGCACAGAAACGGACCCTTCGGTCCAGCGCATCCATGCTTATCAGATGTCCTAAATTTAATACAGTCCCACTTGCCAGAATTTGGCCCATATCCCTCTTAAACCCATCCTATTCATGTACCTATCCAGGCACCTTTTTTTAAATGTTGGAGTTGTACCAGCCACTGCTTCCACGAGCTTGGCAGCTCGTTCCATACACGCATCACCCTCTGTGAAAATGTTGCCACTTGGGTCCCTTTTTTTTTTAAATATTTCCCCTCTCTCTCAAAACCTATGCCTCCTAGTGTTGGACATGCGTGCACACACTTGAAGATTGTACAAACCTGTATCAGGTCACCCCTCACCCTCCAACGTGCCAGGGAAAAAGTCCCGACCTATTCAGCCTCTCCCTATAGCACAACCCCTCCAACCCTGGCAACTTGTGTTGCTGCACGGTTATTCCATTTCCTTGCCCTCGTGGCATGGGACGTGGCTTTCATCAGTTTCTTATGAATGACAGCGACAATGGAAAATAGGAACCTTTTTAAAAAACATTTAAAGTTGTTTCTGTATTAAATTCTGACAAGATGGAGGCTCTGTAGCCAAAACAAGAAATTAGAATGGTTTGTGCAGATCATAGGCAAGGAATAATGATGAATTAATTGTTGACATTGGGCCAAGATTGGTCTTGTACATAGTGATTAATTTCAGTAGATAAATCAAATCAAAATTTCCCTATCCTTTACCTCCACACAAGACTTTTTTTTTATATAATACCAGAGGTTTAATTGCATTGCTTATGGAACTATCTGGAAAGTGCATGGGTCATCTAATTATGTTAGGTTCACTTATGTCTTTATGAAATTCATACAACCTCTAGTGAACTTTTGAGGAACACATTGTTTACAAAGATATGAAAGGGGCTGGAGACCCAGCCTTAACACTGCCATATTCTTCAGACTTCTCAACTCCCAAGCTAACATTGCCTACTCAAATCTGATTTTTGCCAAACAGATGACCATTGGAGTAGAGATTCCCAGTTTGAGATCCTATCAATACTCAGGACTAACTCAGTTTAAAGAGGGATTTCGGGTAATGGAATTCCAGACACACAATGCTTAATTATGTTGTGACTTTTACAGCCACCATGCATTTTCAAATGCCTTGCAGCCAGTTAAGCAATTTTCTGAAGTGTAAGGTGAGGGAGTGTGCAGTCAAATTGCACAGCATGATCCCATAAACAATATGATGTTCTGATACTTTTACTTAATGTCTGCGGAATATAAATTTGGGAAGGCACCCAGAATAAGTTCCTTGAGGTATCTATTTCGCAATTTCATTTACTCACTTCGGGGTTTAATCCTGGACACCTTTGCTGAGCAAAAATCTGTTAATCTTTCTTGGTTTTAAAAATGTCAGTTGACGTAGCATCCAGTGCCTATTGAGTGAGCACCTTTTTTAGAGGTTTCCTACTGAGTGTGGAATTGCTTCTGATTACAGTTCTAAATAGTTTTGCTCTAGTTGTATAATGTTCAGAATATTTATTAGAATATTTTATCCTCCATTTCAAAGTCTGTGAATGGATAAGAAAATGCAACACATGGCTATTTTGAGTGCTGTAAACATTTTAACTGTACTTGCAGAAATGGGTATAAGTTTCTGTATTGCTCAGCACGTGCTATCGGGATGGCTGATATGACTCGTGGATATTTGCACTGGGTTAATGAAAAGGGAACGGTGTTGCCAAAAGGCCCTTTGTTACTTTGTCCCAGCAGTGTGTTTTCTGCATTACACAGGTAAGGTTTCTCAGTTTTTTTTTGTTTTTTTTGTTTAATGTCTTGTTGCATTCTTCAGCTCACTGGATCACTTTAGCAGATGGAGCCATAGAGATGTACAGGATGGAAACAGGCCCTTTGGTTCATCTTGCCCATGCTGACCAGATACCCTAAATAAATCTAGTCCTAGTGGCCAGCATTTGGCCTGTATCCCTCTAAACCCTTCCTATTCATATGCCCATCCAGATGTCTTTTCAAATGTTGTTGTATTTGTACCAGCCTGTTCCACACCTAGCAGCTTGTTTGATGATAAGTGCACCACTCTCTGTAAAATAATTGCCCCTTGGGTCTCTTTATAAATCTTTGCCCTGTCACCTTTAAACCTATACCCTGCTAGCTTTGGACTCCCCTACCCTGGGGAAAAGACCTTGGCTATTCACCCTATCTATATCCCTCATGATTTTATAAACCTCTAAGGTCATCCCTCTGCCTTTTGACGCTCCAGGGAAAATAGCCCTAGCCCATTTCAGCCTCTTCCTGTAGCTAAAACCCTCCAACCCAGCAACATCCTTGTAAATCTTTTCTGAACCAGTTCAAGTTTTGCCACAGCTTTCCTATAGCAGGAAAACAAGAATTGAATGCAGTATTCCAAAAGTGGCCTAACCAATGTCCTGTACAGTTGTGATTTATGTAAAATGTTGAACTTCCTTGATGACCTTATTTAACCTTTTTTCCAAAATAGTTTTCTAAGGGTTTGCAAGTGGATATTGCCTACGCTGCTGTAGTGTCTACTGTTATTAGAAGCTTAGACTCGACAGTTTATTCTCCCCACTTTGAATTTAAATGCTAGAAATCTGATCTTCTGGTATAGATTAACTAATCTGAAAACTGTTGCCTAGTTGTCCTAAAAGATGATAATTCACTAAAATTCTACCTCTTCCATTGAAGATGAATATTAAAATGAGAGGTAGCTCAGTCAACACTTTAAATTAAATTAAACAACTTTTTTAAGGGCTTACTATGATCCTTCAAGATTTTAATTTCAAGTGTTTTCCCAAATTTATTCATAATTTTCAGAGAGGTAATTGAGAAGAAGCCAGAGAAGTTTAAGATCCAGTGCCTAACGGACATCAGGAACCTCTTTTACCCGAATAAAGAGCCTTTCTATGCAGCTTTTGGAAACCGATCTAATGTAAGTCAAAACTCTTTCCGCTGAACCACAAACACTCAAACGTTTTAGAATGCATGGCAGTAACTAGACATAGCATCCATACAAATTAAAGGTGTAATGCTAGTTTTAAACAAAAAGCTTAGGGCAAACATCTATTAACCTTTTTTGAGAAATTGAATGTGATAGATTTTATTTCAAAGGTGTGTTTGATAGAGCTTGCTCTTGCATTGCATTTGCAAGTTACTTTGTCTTTTTACTCTGTGCTTTTGGTTCGTGATGCAATGATTTGAATAGAGTTGTACAAAATTTTTAAGAAAGAATTCATGTTATCTTAAGCTTGCGTGCAAACCTGGTAGATGCCTTCTGAAATGGATTATGTTGCTAAATGTAATATTTGATTGAAACTTTTAAAAATAGTTTCAAAGTTGCAATAAAAGCCATTAGTGTAGTCAGACATTCAATTTGGAGTTCGTAAATTGTATAAAACTTGAACTTGGAGCTATCCTAAGATTGTCAGGCTACTTTTTTTTTAAACGCTTAAGTAGTTTTGTCATGGCTACAGACAAACTCGATTATCTCCTGTGAATTGCAAGTGCTGGAATTGTGGCATGACAATTCCTGATCTGTTTTTGGTTCAGGGCCACTTGTCATGTTTCATATCCTCTGTTATCTAGACTCTCTTTTGTTTTATTAACTAATTTTAATGAAGGAATTTATCTTTTAGTTTTGCATTCTACTTTTGAATTTGTGTTCATTTATGGTGGATGCCAGCTTTAGTTTAATATTAACAACACAAGTGTAAACAGAGATGGATTTAGAAAATTCAGAAGATAAATGTGCTGAACGTTTAAGATTTCATTTCTGGGAATACTTGTGTTCCAGTTTCACTGCAACCCTGTCACATGATCAGATTTCCAGCTCTTTCTTTTGTTCCTTTTCCAACATTTGGAAGCAGATTCTTTAAGTTGCACATGCATATTTTGCTTCCATCTAGGTATTTTGACATAGTTAAAATAGAAAACATACTTGACTGAGATTGAGCTCAATGTTGCTAGGCTTCATTAAATTAAAATTATTTAGTTATTAGATTTTTTCACAGCTCCCTCAGTTTTTTTTTACAAACTTAAACTGATTTGACATTTTGTTAACCACAGAATGGTTTGAAGTGGCTAATTTTAAAGCATTATTTAGAGAATTCCAGCATCTTAAAATAAAAGTATTTTAAAACAAAAAGACAAAAATGAGAATGATTTGGGAAGATTGCCTGTCACAAGGATAGTTTTGTCCCTTTTTGTATACTTGAGGCACAGTCAACACTGTTGGCAGAGTATATGTTCCGTGTGTGATGTGCCAGGCAGTTCTGGCTGTTCATAATTGACTTGTCTCTGTTAGCCTTGGCTTCCTGTCCAAGAACAAATGTCTCAGTGGGGACAACAGAGTTCCAGGTAAGGGTCGATAAGAACAGGCAATATAGAAAGTTGGGAGCATTTTCAACCTATCCTTTCCACCTGAGAAAGGTCCTTTGTTTGACAAGATACTCTTTTCTTGGGTTGGCATGTAAGGGTATTCGGTCCTTTTGAGCCTACCACACCGTTCAATAATGTCATTACTGATTTTAATAAACTTCTTGCCCTCCTTACCTACCTACCTCTGCCTGAAAAACATTCCGAGACTTGGTGAATTTCAGGGTCTGAGTGATGTTAGCTATGTTGAGACTTGTGCTAGAACCAGACTAGAAGGCTAACTTTGGGAGTGTTTTGCTCAGTCTTTTTTCATTTTTGTTCCATGATATGGTGAATTAATCACTAATTGGCATTGAGCTGCCAATTAAATGTGACTTTTTTTGCTTGTTAAATGCCTTGACGATGGCCCAACTCACCTCATCATTAATATTCTGCTCCCTAACTTACCAAACGTGTCAGTCAAGCTAGATGTCGAGAAAACTTGACATGGAAACTAGAGCAAGTGCCAAATTCAGCTCAATGTTTTCTCTACGTGAACTCCATATTGGGTGCCAGACACCACCATTTAAGGACCTGGTCTGTTCCAACTGGCCACATGCACTCATGAACATTGGCATCTGATGTGTGCTGACCTCTAAGAATCCTCTTTGCACGTCCCTGATCCACTTCTGGGCTTTTAATGGTGCACTGGCAACTCTCATTATAATATTGCAGCAAGGGTACTGTACATGATCTGGGATTGCACCCAGCTCACTGACTGGACCAGACTGTATCTCTGCGCATCTCATTCACTTGCTGTCACAGTACCCACTCACTCTGAACCTACCTGATACGTTCAGCATCGCTGCCTTACATTTTTTTTGCTCTTTGCCTCCTCAGCCAGAGATAGGGAAGGCCTATTTTTACCTCTGTGCTACTTACTGCAGATACAAAGGTCGGATAAGTGTTGGCAATCCTCGGTCAAGTCAAAAGAGACCCACATGACGACAGGAGGAAGCTCCTAGCACTGCAAGTCCAGGACACCCCCTGATAACAGTCTAGGGCTTGGGCACAGTCGGACTCTGGGAGTGGAGAAGGTCATTAATGTTTTTCCTACAATGCTCCTCCAGATGGTTGAGACTGCACTGACCTAGTTGGCAATGTTGGGCTAGGCTGGCATTGTCCGGTATCATGGCCTCCACCACTGTTGCTAAGGAAGTGGAAATTCTAACTGTGCACCTCCCCACCCAGCAGGACCTCTAAGCCCCTGCCTGGAAAGGCGGGGTGTTGTCTCTTCTTTTTTTTTTTCCCTCTATATTTGTTTTTTCTTTTGCCACTCTGACTCTTCCTCCCCTCCCCAACCACAATGCAGGGCAGAAATCTCTGGACTAACAGTGCTTGTCCATGTGCACGCAGGCTTTTAAAGATGGCGTGGGCAGCAAGGGATGCCAGTGAAATTTGGATATCTGCTGAGTAGCGGGTTGTTCTGGGAACATCATGTGGCAAGATGGTGCCTAATCAGATGTGATTGACTACCCACCCTAAGTAGCCTATGAGGTGAATTTGGTTAGATATGATGAGAAGCTTGTTGGGCCATGTGGTAATCCTTCCAAACAACTCAGTTGACCAAAAAAGTGCAGAATTCCACCCTCTCTCTCCACTGTCTTGAATAGTTCCAAGCCTCGCCACCTCCTGGGGAATTACTCCTTTTTGTCACTGTCTTAATCCCCTTCTTTTAAACAGTGCCTCCTACTTCCAGTTTCTCTCTCAAGAGTAAATGGTCTTTCATCATCCACCCTGTCAAGACCCCCTCCGGTTTCATCAAATTTGTTCTGAGGGAATTCTTTCAACATATTATCATGGTGAACAGGTTTTAAAGTCTTTAGTAAATGTGTAATTTCTTGAGGGCTTCTTTAAATACATCCTCCTTTCAAACCACCTTTTTAGTCCCTTAAGTATTGCCCCAGTTTTTAAATGACTATGTAATTACTTTTATTTCATCCGTTTGGTATTATATTTGCTGTGGTGTGGCAGCTGATGTTTTGATAAACATCACTGCACAAAAAGATACAAATTGTGAATTCATGTAACACAGTGGGTTTCACTGTACTGAAGAATCCAGTTCATTTTTTTACAGCACCCGACACTTGCACACCTTATGATCACAGGCACTTGTGTCTGGATTCAAACTAAGCAATTTAAACATACTGTGGCATGTTTCCCTCGACATGTCATGCTGCAAGAGGACAGTAGGATGGGGACTCTGAGCTGTACGCTTTGGTCAAGTGCCATGATATGGTGATGCCATAATGACTGTCCCTTTTTTTTTTAAGGTGCATCTCACATCTGCTGTGAGGCATAACAGTAATAACTGCCTCTTCCTAAACCCTATCCAACCAAACTGTTTTTTGAATTAATCAATTTCTAAATGTTACAAACCATCCAAAACCTTTGGAATAACAAACTAATAAGCAAATGGTTACAGAAATGACCTAAGTTTATAAAGCCAGTAATACAACTTTTTTCCTTTTTTTCCCCCACTAGGATGTTTACTCTTACAAACAAGTTGGTGTCCCAATAAATAGAATTTTTACAGTCAATCCTAAAGGTGAACTAATACAGGAGCATGCAAAGACCAATGTATCATCGTGAGTAAACATTTAATTTCTTAAATTTTATTGGAGGTAAATTAAGTTTCTCACTTTTTTTACAACAGGTAACTTTTGTGTATTGCAATTAGGCCATTGCTGTATTTCCTGGTGGTTGAGTGTATTGATCCTGTCTGTTCATCAGGACTTCAACATATCTCAATGGATTCAGCCCTGGCAGCACTCCTTTTCATTTTTCCTTTTTCCTTTTTCCTCTGTGTTTCACTACTTCCCCATCATCCCCAGTTGCTTTTCTTCACCACTCTGACTTTTTCTACCATCTGTTGGAACTCCCTTGTGCCAACTGTTGTATTTTCCATTCAATGCTCACTAATATCACAAGTTGTTTATCCTACTTAACCCTGTCCTCTTGCTATGCAATGCTTCCTCTCCTTTTGCACTTTTCGCATCAACTACCTCATTTCAAAAGTCTGTCACGAAAAGTTGTTATGGGAGGAAATGGCACAACAAGCAAGCTCAGCTCACCATCTGCTCATTTTAGATACTCCCTTCTGAACTATTGCCTGTTTATTACAGCTCTTTTCTAATTCATTCGGACTACTACACCAGAGCTAATGCTGGCAGATCTCACATTCTCGTTCCCAGTTCGATTTATATCTCTGGACTCTGTCCAGTTTCACATCTGAGTATCACACCCTGTCACCCTCTGCCAACTGTTGCTGGACATCCCCACAGTACTCTCCAATGTTAAAGCTCTTTACTATGATAGCCATACCTCCACCCAAATACAACAGTCTCCTACATCAGGAGCATTCTTTTTGGCACTTCCAACCTATCTGCACACCCAAGATCTGAACAAACCCCCTCCCACTTCTGTCTCCATATGGTCATACTCCATAATACCTGGATCTTCTCCCACTGTTTTTCAGCATTCCAGGATTTCCCTCTCCAGCTCAAACAACCTTAAGACTCCTTTCCCAAAGGTGACAGTGCAGGCATTTCTTGCACCCCTCTCCATTCACTCCAACCTCCCCATGTATGAATTAAGATCCAGGTTCAAATCTTCATGACCGAATGGATAGCTGATGTCAGGAAATGTCCCAGCTGAACACACCAGCCTTGGTATCAAAATTGCTGAATGGTGCAATCTGTTGATTGGGGTGGGGAGGGCATGAGGCGCAGGGTGGAGATGGCTCTGCTACCAGCCAGCTTTTTCCAATGATGTCTGCTAAGGCAATGGTGACTTTACTTACTTGGATCACAAGTGCACCCCACCCAATGCCTCAATCCTCAATTAATGTTTCCTTGATACTTCTACCTTCCTGTATTCCCACTCCTCCTGTATCCTGATACACCATCCAGAAATTGAGATCCCCTCATAATTAAACATCCAGTAATCCGATACAGCATCTTGCTGACTAACCTAAGGCTCTGATCTATTGTACACTTCTTTTTAAAAAAAAGTCCTATTTTGCCCTTTTTCCCTTTCTCCTTTAGCACCCTGACTCTGCTATTCTCGCCCTCACCACAAGCCACTAATCCCTTTTCATGCTTTCATCAAACCCTGCAATTTTTCCTTTTACTGTTTATTCCATTCAAACCTACAAATTCCCACCTATTTCCCCAAATGTTCCTTCTCGCTCAGCATGGCCAATCTTTCCACAACTTTACTTTTCTGTATTCTTTCCTCTTGTACTGTTACATTTTGTTCACACCACTTAAACATGCAAATCCTTTCTTTGAGAGTCTGCCGCTGTCTCAGCACTTGTGTAGCAAACTCCAAAATGATCCACACCCCTTGATAAGAACACAGTGTTTCACACTGATGTATTTAGGAATGTGACACTGATCAGCATTGCATAGTGGAAAGGATTTTTTAAAGAACATTGGCAATTCTGAAAACTTTCTCTTCTGGTAATTACTATTGGGGTGAAAATAGTTACTGCAACCCTACATTGCTTCCTGATACTTTTAATGCCTGCTCATACTGTTAGAATACTCACCACTATTAAACATAAACACCCTCCTCTTTCTAACACAATCTCCACAGATTAAATTATCTTTTTATATTTGTGCAAAATACTCTATGCACTTTGAAATAAATGATATTCCACGTTAGTTTTTCTCCAATATATAAATCTCAAGATTTGAAAAACCTTCACATTTAATTTTGTTCTCCATCTCTTCTTATTAATAATTAAACCCTTCCTTCTGATATAAAGTTTGTTAAATTCACTTAGTTTATTTTTTTCTTTGTTTGAAAAGCTTCCATTATTTAAATGTAGTCTATGGTGTAACTGTCGAATTTGTACATCTAAGGTCAAAAGGTTATACTTCACTTCATATGTTTAAGCATCTGATACAGGCTGACCTAAGGACGTTTGTACAGTGCCAAGCATTCAAATTTAAGATTTTGATTTCCTCATCAATACAGCAATTGATGGGTATTTATCAGGTAATGGTAACAAGGGGTGTTGAGGAAGGGCATGGTAAATATAACTAAAGTATAGATAAGCTATCTTCTTTTAGAAGAAGCTGGAGAGTTTGAATGGACTATTTCCACTCTAATCTTACAATCTTCCTTTTATTGCCTCCTGAGCAATGGAAATGCTGTCTAAAATGTAAATAGTCTTGAGGTGTATCTTTTGGTACTAAATTTAAAAACAACTTCCAAGTATATAATTGGATTTGAGCTCTCGTGCAGAAGGCCCAAATCAATTTGCAGATTTGACTGTATTTATGCTTAATTATTTTCTCTGGGTGAGCTTTTACTGCAGCTTTTAGATAACCTGGTTCTAGGCAAAAGGAGATCTAACAGCAAAATAAATATCAGGAGCTTATCTTATTCTACCCTGCTAAATACACCTCTGACATGAGGGAAAATATAGCCTGTATTATCCCATTTGTTCACCTGCAAGCAGAAGCTTCTAAAAATAGCTACACACTGAAGAAATTACACCTGGGTGAAATGCGACCAGACAGATTGAGTACTAGCAATAACAGACTTATTTTGTGACCAGCAAAAGGCTGTGGTTGCTCTATTTCAACATTATGAATTCTGAAGTTGCACATTGCTGCACCTCACTGTCTCAAAGCTTGGTCGTTCTGACCAGTGAATGTGCATTTTTACCTTCCATTATGGTTTCATAACATAGGAACGGGGGTAGATCATTCACACCATTGTGTTGATTCTGCCATTCAGGTACATGATGGTTGATCATCTATCTCAATGCCACTTTCCTGCACTGTCTTCATGTTCCTTAATGTTGTTTGTCTCCAGAAATGTATTGATTTGTCTTGATTATGCTCAATGATAATCAATAGCCCTATGTAGCAGACAATTCCAAAGATTTGCTATACTACAAGTGACAATATTTTTCCTTATCTCCACCTTCAATTATCTGTCCCATATTCTGAGATTGACTCCCCTGGTTCTGAACTAACCAGCAAGGCAAACCTCTTGTGTACAGGTACATTATAAACTTCAGCTAGATCACACACTTTCTTCAGAAATCTAGAAGATACAGACAGTTACTTCAGTCCCTCCCCTGTTCTACAATCCCACCATTCCAGGGATTAGTCTGGTAAAGCTTTGTTGTGCACACTCCCTACAGAGACCAAAACTGTGCATTATTCCAGATGTGGTCTCACCTAAGATTCTACACCATAGCAGGGCATCTTTTACTTCTGTACTTACTTTGGACTTCAGTGCGAGGATGTTGCATTTACCTTTTCTAATTTGCTTGTTGCCACTGCATGCTAACTTCTAGTTTGTTGTGAACAAGGATTGTCTCTTTGGACATTAAACAGTTCCCAACAACCCCCCACCCCCCTCACCATTTTAAGAAACATTTTTGCATTTGTTTTATTTTTCTACCAAATGTGGGTAATGTCTCATTCGTGTTTTTATTCCATCTGATGTTATTAGCCCTTTCACTTAGTTTGTCCAAGCCCCCTTAAAGTTTCCTTGCGTCTTTCTCTCAACTTTTGAATTTCACCTAGTTTTACAGCATCAGCAAATTTGGAAGTGCATCAATTCAACACCAATATCACAATCACTTTCATAGTTTGTGAGCAGTTGTGGATCTGGCACTGATAGTTACCACTGTGGTACCTCCCAAAAATCTGCATGCTGACAATGATTCATTTATTTCTCTTCTCTGCTTTCTATCTGTTAACTGATTCTCAATCCATGCTGTATGGTCTAATTTTTGTTTTAACTTATGTGGGACCTCTATCAAAACCTTACTGAAAATCCAACTACATTGCATCCACTGGCCCTCCTTTATGCTATAAGCATCATCTCAAAAAAAAACTCCTGATTTTTATCAGTATGATTTCCCTTTTTATAAATCCATATTGACTCTGCACAATTTTAACATCCCACCCAAACTATCTATATGTTGATCCCTTTGATCTAAAATCCTTTTTTCCAAAGAGTGCTACTCACCTTTGTTTTCCCCCCCAGGCTTTCTAAATGTAGAATATTCTTAGATATCCAGTTCAGTTTTGGTTACCTTGTAGCCACATCTCTAATGGTTATTATATCATAATTGTTTACCCCCTTTGTTGTCAAATCATCAACCATTTGTGAATGCTGCATGTATTCAAATAGTGTTGTTAGTTCTGTCTTCTTAACAATATTCTCCATCCTATTTGGTTTCTGCCTTCGGCTTCTAAAATCTTTTTATGAATATGTTTTGTTAAATGTTAATATGTCAGTCAGTGCTTTGTGGAAAGGACAAAAAAACAGTTTCATGGCCTGTACATGAGTATGAGTCAGAAATGAGATGAACCATTAAGTACATGAAGCAGTAAGGAACGGAAGAATATGCTAATGGGTTTAGATATTTTTTCTTTGAAGAAAGTTATGTGGTACACACGGACATGGACATGGATCTGTTGGGCCAAATTGCTTGTTTCAATGCTGTAGGTAATTTTGTAAAGGCAACATTTGGAATGATGGTACTTTGGTGATATTTTATAAATGTAGTATTCTAAATATACATTCGAGGGCATACAAAATTTTCATCTCTTATTCGTTGGGACAATTCACAATGTAGTGGAAAACCAGCATTTGTACTGTGAGGGGATAATGTTGATTTTTGTCAACAAGTGGACTCTGATAAAGGCATTGGCATGGAGAGTACACCTACTGATTGTAAATATACATTGGTTGCTGGTGGTTATTCCGTTATAGCTTGATCTTCCTGGTGCTTGCTCCTTTCACCTAGTCCCCTCCCCTCTGTTTGGATTGTATGTTTAATTCTAATGTATTAATTTAGAGTGCTCCAACTCTGATTTATTTTTTTAGACTTTGAATTGAACCGACCTTATTTTTGGGGGGGTAAAAAGGTGAATCAACAGTAGAACTGAGCTGCTGTCATTTAACAAATACCTGTCCTCCTGTAATTTCAAGCTCTGGTATGTTGATTAAGAGAAACTCCATTGGATACAGTATGTAAGTGCAGAATGCAATGTTATTTTCAACTTTAAAAACCCCATTCTTCCCAATATGACATGGGAAGTATTTCATGTACAAGATAATGTGCTTCCCAGAAGTGACAGATACAAATGAAAATGGATCACAGAACAGACAATATATAACTGCCCAGGACATTTGACTTCCCCTTTATGCTGCCCAGCACCCATAATTCTGCCACAATAGAGGCACAATCTGTACAGGCCAAAGTACAGTCTTATTGAGGCACAAACTTTAGAAATATTTATAGAAGCATGCAGAGAAAGAGACCACATCGTAACTTCTTTGCTTAAAGAGTCTGTTTGTGATAGTGCATTCAGATTCAGATTCTAATACAAAACCATTCTGTTTCTTTTTTCCCCAGTTACGTAAGGCTGAGTGAAATAGTTGACCATGTGTTCCCTCTGCTAAAGAGAGAGCATTCCTCTGACTTCCCTTGCTCTGATACCTACAGCCAATTCACATTCTGGAGAGAACAGCTGCCAACTGTGGAAAACCTCAAAGCTTCCCAGGATTAAAAACTTGATGCACGTTGTGAAATGGTTTTTATTCATTTTAAGTGCTAGCAGCCATTGCTTGCATTGAGAAGCTGAAAGTAATGTAGTAGGAAAGCTGCTATCCGTTCTTTGAACCTTTTTACTTTTATGGACTGTCCTTCTGTAAGGATATTATTACAGGTTAAGAATGAAGTCACTTGATAGAAGTATGTTAAGCACCAGGTTTCATAAGAAACAACATTTCATTGTCAATATTTTCTGTGTAATATGTTCCAAGTTGATACCACAATTACTTTTTTTAAGATCACAATCTACACTTAAGCACTCCTTTTGTGGTCTTCAAAAGTATTCACCAATTTTTCCTCAAATGTAGAATTATTATTTAGTGTGCACTTTTGATTAGTTTTAAGTCCACATTCTTTAGATGCAGCTTGTCATGCCCCAGTAAACACTGCAGCTTCAAAGGCTAAACTTGTTTAAATTATTGTCTTCACCAGCTGTTGTCCTCCCACACACTTCCACTGTCTTTTTAATCCCTTTCATGAAGACAATGTCTTCTGCTGGGCTGCATTTCTCTGGCTGCCAGCCGCTAATTGGATTCAGACACATCATCCCTGCCATTGCACCTCAGCAGGGCTAAAGGTGGTTGACTGAGTGGGGAAAAAAACCTCAATGCTTTTCTTTCCATAACTGAAGGGCACCAAAGCTGATTGACATGCGCACAGTTTTGCACACTAAGCTATCAAGGGACTACAGATGAAATATTAACATTGTAAAACAATCATTGGATTGAGGCATTACTGTGAGGACTGTTTTTATGTATTTTAATTTGAGTCAAATTATTGCATTGACTTTTAATTTTCTGAGGAATCTAACTTCTTGCTGTTAAAAAATTTTAAAATATTTTTCTCAGACTTTTTTTTTAATAGCTAGTTAGAGTACACAGGTCTGTATTGTCAATGCAAAACAGCAGTTACTGGAAATCCTGACCCAAAAAAAACAGACAATCTGGAATGGTCTAGCAGGTCAAGCAGGAGTTGAGAGAGGAACAGGGTTAACATTTCAGCTAGATGAACTTTTAAAATCCAACTCCCATTTGACACATTTTTGTGCTGTCACTCCTCAGATGCTGTCAGAGCAGCTGAGTGTTTTCAGCACTTTGTTTTCACAGCTCAGTGTTATGCCTTTTCATGTAATGCTGCAGATGGTATTCATATTGGTGCAGTTGGATTGCAGACTTGTTACAGGCTACAATTCAATATTGCTGCCTTACACCAGCAATAGTAATCTCTGGTTTCTGCCAAGAGCTGCAATGTAGCATTTAATTGGAGGGTGAACTGAATTAAGTTTCTCTAACCATCTGGGTTCAGTACTTATCCAACAATCAAAGGGTTTTTTTACATGTCTGGAAATGGCTTCAACTGTGTGTGCAAGGGCATGTTTTAAGAAATTGTTTTCTAAAGAAAGGAAAATCTTGTACATTTGAGTTCATTGCCTAATGAGTGAGTCTCTTCTACTTGTAGTATTTCCACAAAAAAATTTAATTTTGAAGACATTACTAACTTGTCTGGGGAAGGGAGATGTAAAATTTAATTAACAAAAAAAAACCTGTGGAAAGCACAAGTACCATGCGTCCATAGTGGAATCCATAGTGTTTTCTTTTATTTTTCTGATACGATGGTCGCAGTTAGAAAGTGGCATTCTTGTGATGGATTGCAATTTGTGCCTGATTTCTTTTAAGCTGCAATTAAACTGGGGGAAAATCAGGCCCAGAGTGTAAAGTAAAGAGTATTTTCTTTCTATGAAAGATAAATAATTGAAGCTTTGATTTCAAATCTGTTACATTTTGTTATAATTATTACAACTATCTCTCAACCACTGCAATGAATTACAATGTTACTGTAAGTGAAATAATGCTACATCATGCAAATAAACAACTCCATAAAAGCAGAATGTTAAAATGAGGGCTGAATCTTACTGCTTTATTGGCTAAATGTGTGTGACGGTGTTTGTTCATTTTTGTTTTCGGAGGGATTACCATTATGAAGTCAAGTGAGTTTACTTATCATATCTTATCAAAACCAGCTCATTAACTACTGACCCTCTCCATGTCAGATCCCATCTTACTATGTGCAGTTCCCAGAGTGACTTGCCACTCGGATATCCTGAAATTCACTGGTATCCCTTTGCGTCCACTGCATCCAGACAAGCCTTGTTAGTCGGACTTGCTCTGCACAGTTTCTAACGTTTGCCTCAGCCATGGAGAATGGGAGGAAATGGGCAGTTGGATTTTGGGCCAGGGAACTGGAAGATCCTGCTGAACTGGGTGGAACTCATCTGGGACCTCCTCTTCTCCAAGGGCCAGCAGTAGAGGGTACAACAGCAGACTGTGTGCGCGCATGCACTGAAAACCAAGAATTGGGACTCTTCAGCAGACCCTCAGTGAAGTTGTTGGTATGAGAATAAATGGTGTTGCCTGTGCTGCTGAAGGGACAGCAGCATAGCACGAATGCCACTGTTGTCATAAGCCAACAGTACAGCTTAATGCTGTGGGACGGGTTCGAATTCCCACTTCAGCAGCTTGTGAAACTTTATTTAATAAATTTGGACTTTGAAAATGTAGTCTCTGCAATGGTCACCAGGAAACCATTGGGTTGTCGTTAAGAACCCATCAGGTTCACTAAATCTCTCGGGGATAGAGACGCTATCCTTAGCTGGCTCTGCCTACGTGAGTCTAGATGCACACCCAGCAGTTGACTCTTAACTATATCTGACCTGCCTTCTCAAGTCACTTCATTGCTGACTCTTCTGTAGTGTGTTGGTACAATTTCCAGAGTACTTCCATTGGTTTTTAGACATCAGTGGTTCAAGAGGCTGACTCACCATGCCCTTCTAGGGCAATGGACTGAGCAAAGTCTGACATTGTTCTTTCCTGGAATGAGTCCTACTGGCAGACGAAAATCATGAAGTTTTCTAATAATTCAACACACTTGTTTTATTTGTGAAAGACAACTTAAAGTTGTCATTCAATCTTTAACATATTCAGGTTTATTTGCAGTTGAGTTGACTTAATATGTAAAATGCTTACAGCACTGGACCATACTATTTGGTCTGTCATAGCTGGCCCTCAAGAAGCAGTTTACCTAGTGACACCCCTTTTTTTGGGTCTCTTTCCCTGCAATCCTGTAATTTTTGTTTTGGGCGTGGACTATGTATTCTCAGTGCTTAAAATGGCCACTGGAACATGCAGGTGACCCCCATGACATTGGCAACTCCTGGCTTGCTCATTGCTGACTAATGTCTGTATGGGGACACTATTTCTGCCTACTAATGGTCATGTGGGTCTGCATAAAGTGGTCAGTAGATCTAAAAGTTTGTAACTTACTGCGCAGACATAAACAAGCCATCAGTTCTGCAGAAGTGAATTAGAGTAGATGAATAAGCTGATTCTAATGTACAGAATTAGTCCTAAGATCATTTCCCAACTGAAGGGAACAACATTTTTTGCTTTGGGTATAGAAGTTAAAAACTGTATATGTTCCAAGACTTCATTATTGAATTCAAATTTGCTTGAAAGAAATTAGACCTAGGTTTCCTGCCTTTCAAGTTTCTTAATGAACTTTCATGCAGGCTTCTACTCTTCCTTGTACCTGTGAGATTATGGAGGTAGCAGTATCTCTGATAGACAACTGCCTGCCAATGATATGGCAGTGACATACCACTTCCCCACATGCGTTCTAACTGCATCCCTCAGAAGCTCGGCCTTTTAGATAAAGGTCTAAAAGCCCTCCTTGAAAGCCTCCTTTGATCCTGCTTTACAATTTCTAAAGTAATCTTCTTGTCCTGTGCTGTCTAAGAAAGACAGGAAAATTTATGGCTGCTATCTCTGCCATCTCTATTCTCCTTACCGCAGATGGTTGGTTTCATCTTGCTCAGTCCTGGTACCACCTCAACCTTGATGACAGTCTCTTCAACACCACCTTGTTGTGAATGTTAGCTATAACATAGGTTAGCATTCCCAACAAAATTGACTTTCAAAATATATCACAAGGAATTTTACAAAATGGTTCCCAGAAGTATAGTGACTACCCTGTGTATAGAGCTGATGGTAGAGCCAGCATCATGTCTCAAATGAAAATTACAAAGACTTTTGAAAGTCAGTGAAAGTTTCCAAGATTAAACTGAAACTCCTCAATAATTCCCTGAAATAGCCCTTCCTATCTCTGAAAATACCTGACAGGATGAAAGCTATGGCCTGAGATGCTTTAAAAGTTAACTGCCTTTTTATCAGCATAATTGATTGGTGGTATCTCTGAATTAGGCTTAGTGTGGAAATGTAATTTGCTAATCTTGGGACAGTAGCCATTTTGAGTCTTGAATTATGTTGACTTCTGGTTCTGAGCAACTATTTAGCCTAGAGATCTTGGGAGAAATCATCTGAGTGGTATGAGTGAAGCATCCACTGCTTAATAGGAAGATGCCTATGAAGGCTATTGTAATGATCTGGCTCTGGAGATCCACAAACTGCAATGCTATAAAAGCATGTATACTTTTAGGAGTGAAAACATACATTTTATGATTAGTCCCTGTTTCTGATCAGTCAACTTTGTATCTACATTGCTACTGTTCCTTTTATTCCATGAGCTCTACGTTTACTCGTTAAGTTAACTGCATAGATCGAAGTAGAAAGCTCCCTTCAGCTTACCGTTATACCTAATGCAAAGGAAGATAATTCTGCTTATTAGGGGACAATAATTACACCTTAGGATATCCCTGCAGGAGTTACTCAGCATAACTTCAGATATCTTCAGCTGCTTCAAAATGACCTTCCCTCTATCATAAATCACACGTGAGATGTTCCCTGATGATTGCACCATATTAAGTTTGTGATAGCATGCAGTGGGTGTGGTACTGAAGTCAGGCTTGGATTGAAATGTGGCATGCAGTATTCATGCCACCTCAGTTGCAGGCAGAGCTATCTCCAATAAGAGAGCATAACTATCCGTTCTTGACATTCAATGGTATCGCTATAGCTAAATTCCCTCTCATCGTTGTTCCAGGTGATACCATTGACCTGAACCGGAACTGGGCTAGTCATATAAATACTGTGGCTACAGGTCAGAGACCCAACTCTGACTGTTTAAAGCCAATTCCCCCATCTATAAGGCACTATTCAGAAATATGACGGGCTACTTCCCACTTGCCTGCATGTGTGTAGCTCCAACACCACTTAAGTTCTCCACCACCCAGGACAAACCATCTGGCACCAATGTTCATTCCAAGCACCACCTTTACAGTGACAGCAATGTGTACTATTTGAAAGATACACTGCAATAACTTATCAAAACTCCAAAACTTGGCATCACTACCACCGCGAAAGACCAGGACAGCAGAAGTATGGGAACATCACTACCCTTCACTCACCATCCTGATTTGGAACTATATAGCCGTTCCTTTACTGAGTCTAGGGGAGAATGGCAGGACTCTCTCCCTAACAGTGCTGTTTTGTGCATGTTCACCATAAGGACTACAGAGTTTCGGGAAGATAGCTTACCATCTGCGCAGAGATCATCAATAAATGTAGGGTTGCCCCTACCCTATGATTAAATATGAAAGAATGCTTTCTATTTTCAAAAGTCACTTGTAAGAAGGGACATTTTAAAAAAAAAAAAAAGTCAAGAAATTAACTCCCTTCCAAACTAATAAGGACATTCTAATTCTTGATAGGTTGGTGGTAAGTGATTTTTCTACCACACATTGATATATTATGGGAAAAGCCAATTGTATACATGACTTCCAATGTTCAAGTGCTCTAGATCATGTAAAGATGTGAATATTGTCCATCGGTGAGTGAATAAACCCAAATGTTCATCCTGTGACAGTTTCATTTCAGGAAGCAAAATTTAAATAACAATATTACTTATTTAAAATAAAATAATTACTGTGTAATATTATTTTGCACCTGTGCAGGTGACTAACTGGAGAACTTACTTTCAAAAAGATAAATATCTATATTCTGCAACTATAAGCATTTCATATTAGTTTAGCTGACAAAACATCTGACTCTTTTCATAAAATTGAATGTATTTTGTTTTATGTGGTGTTATATTGAACATAATGAAGCTAATATTATATTCTCACATTGCAGTAGCTGTGCAAATGATGAATAATTCAAATTTAATTCTAGCTCAGAATAATAAATACTTAAAGATATTATGAATGAACTCTTATTATTCACAACTATAATCCTTGGTAAAATTCGAACAATCTAATTTAAGCACTTATCAATAACTGGTTGCTGGCTGCTAACTACCAGTTTGTGGAATTTTCATTTATAATAACCTCATACAAATAGTTTTGAAAATAATTACATCAATGATTTTTATTTTAATGAGCACAGAGGTTGACTCTAAAATGAGACCTGATACAAAGCATTAACTAGCTTAATTTCACAGTGATATGAACATTCAGAACAGCTATCAGTTTTGAATTTACCTGTTTCAGAGCAGTATAAGAATCCAAAATGATAAGCATGGTAATATTTCCCACATCAGTGTTCATTGAGCCTGACCCAAACAACATGACCTTGAATGATTACACTCCCACTCAAGTGTTTCTAATATCTTTCATAATAGTGGGACTTGACTGCCTCCTAATATTTTGTACGAAGACCCAGCTGACTGAGAGTAATACTGATCTAACACACACAGAGAAAACTGATATGTGTCTCCTGTCTTACATTCTGCTGGATTTTATTCTCCGTTGAAGCTAAAATTACCTTCAATGTGACTATCTCTCTGATTTTACTTCCTCGATTTATACCCCTATGGTATCAAAGAATTTCAGAGGATTGGGGCATGGTAATTTTTCAATGTTGAGATAGGCAAAGGCCATAAATAATAAATGCATCAACAATATCAAAGTGAGCTATTTGAAATTTGGTCAATTATTGT